AGATATTTCTTGAGACGAGGGGAAAAAAAAGATCGGATAGGGAAAGCTCTGGCTTCGTGTGGACGTAGCCTAAATCTATATATATTTTTTTTTGTGATTTTTTATTTAGGAGAGCCTGAACGTCATGAGTCTCCAGATATGAATGAGGTGGAGAAGCCGCAGGAGCCAGTACAGCCTCGAACTACTCCAACTAAGCCTCAGTCCAAACCCTCTTTGCCCCAAAAACCTGCAAATGCCAATCCTTCCTCAACCAAGACTACAAGAACTACCTATCTAGGTTAGTGTGAATAATATTACTTGAAATAATGAAAAAAAAATATTTAGAATTTATTTTTTTAAAAACTATTAATTATTATTATTTATCATTTTAAATTATTTTTAAAATAAATATAATTAAAATAAATAATACAAAATAATGATTAACATTTTTAGAATTTTACAATGATTTAAATGTAGCTTTGGTAATAATGTGTACTAAAAGATTTTAAATTTCTACTCTTTTAATTTCTACTATTTTGCCTTTCAGCACAAAACATTAAGTGTGAGACAAAAATGAGGGACAAATGTAAAGGAGCAGCCTGCAACAGGTCAGTGTAAAATAATTTGATATTTCTTTAAAGATTTTAAGATATGTTAAGTTCAGCCAATTTTACAGGTGATTTTCTTTTTCTTTTTAAGGTACAACTGCCCAGGAAACTGCTTAAATAAGAAGGGGAAAGTGTGGGGAACACTGTACTATGATGTTGTAAGTTATACTTTGAGATTTCACATGGTCCTGTTCAGTGGGTGATGTTAGATTTATTTATTAATTCCATTTTTTCTCCTATTATTTTAGCAATCGAGTATTTGCCGTGCTGCTATCCACTATGGAATAATTGACAACAATGGAGGCCTTGTGGATGTTACAAGAAAAGACAACTTCCCATTCTTTGTAAAGGCAACCAAGAATGGCGTAGAATCATTCAGGTAGTCTAAACATTAGGATGATATCAACTGAATTCAGTTTGTCCACAATTCACTGTCTACATGGGAGTTATTCAATCAAATCTGCATTGTTTGATTTTCATTTCAGTAAATACAAACCTGGCAATGCATTTACAGTGTCGAGAGTGGAAGGTGAGTATTTTTATTGTCTTATCTTCATAAATATTGAATGCAAATATTCTCTTTTTTACAATATGAAATCAGAAATGGTGCGTTTATGGATTTGAAGTTAAAATATTGTATAAATATATAATGCACTAAATTGCGGCTTCATCATTACGAATGTGTAATTACAAATATATTTAAACGTGACATACAAGTTATGATATTGAAGTATATTTTAGTTTATCATAAATGCTTGGTAGTACATTCAGTACACTTTAACTACATTTCAAAGAAAAAATTTTAGGAAATTAAAGATATTCTTAAGTCCTACTTAAGTTGGTCAAAAACACGCAAATGATCAACTAATTGCATTTTATATAAATTTAAACTATATTTAATTGCAATTAACATGCTATTAAGTCCCCTAAAATATTGTATTGATTTCACACTTTATTTTATTTCCATAATAAATACTCTTGTCAAAAGTATGCTAAATATGTATTATTATGTAAATGCAAGTATTCTCATTGATATATGTTTTCCAGTATGCAGTCAATTAAAGCTACTCAACTGACTGGCAAATCATCTTTAGAATCATGTGTTTTTCCCTTCTTTAGAGCAAACAATAGACTGCTACACAACAGTGGCTGAGATTTGTCCCTTCAAGGCATCCACCTCTCATTGTCCAAGGTACCATTCAGTGTATTGCAATATTCGCCATATGCACTCCAATATCAGGTCAATTGTATGTACTTTCCTTGTCGTAGCAATGCACCTTATTAGTTTCTCCTCTATCTCATCAGAGTCTTCTGCCCAGCTAATTGCATAAACGAACCGTCATATTGGGCTCCAGTGGTTGGCAGCAACATCTACGGAGATGTGAGTACCTGCTTCAGTCCGAGGGCGTCTGTACAGGGCTGAGAGATGAGAAATGAGGGAGAACAGGCATTCGTAGTCAGGCACTTACGAGTGCTAAAGTGAGCGTGCTGCTCTTGTGGTGAGGGTCGACTGTGGGAATCGTCTGTGTGAGTCTAAAGGGAGTTTTCGGTGAAGGTGGCCTCCATTGTCACCACTAATTTATCTCGCAGAGTGTATACTGACCACAGAGCAGCTCTCTTACACTGACTCATGCATGCCTGAGGTCAGGACTTGGCCTTACGGACCACTTAACTGTTTAGAGAACAGCTTGCTGTATAACTTCATCATTGCAGAGTTTCTTTATTAATTTATTAATCAAAATTATGACACTAATGCATCTGATGTGCACTTAATTGTATTTAATGTGCATTTGTAGTTACTTCAAATCTTAAAAGTATACTTTTAAAAGTCTTTACTTGCAGATAATATATTCCTAATGAAATAAAAGGGCACTTAAGTGTACTTAAAGAGAGATTGTTTCTTAACACACTTAAGTACACTTTTAAACAGTTCACTTTGTGATAATGTCCATTTAAATCATTAAGTTTAATTTATTTTTTTCATTTATCACTTTGTTGACTAACATACTAAAGCACATGGAAAATACTTCATTATAATGTTAACTTTTGTGTTATTCTGTATTACATTTAATGTCAATATATTTTAAATGCGCTAAAATGCAACTACATCATTACAAATGTGTAATTTTAAAAATATTTAAATACACGACATACAGATATCAATGGAAATTACATTAACATAAATACTTGTCATCACATTCAACAGTAACTTTAACCATATTTCAAAGATAATAGAAGTAATTTTAAAATTACATAAAAAGATGTACTTAAGTGGGTCAAAAAAGCACTCTACGGTTAAGCTAATCACATTTAATATAAATGTAAACTATAATACATTTTCATTTAATTGCAATTAACATGCCATTAAGGATCTGAAAACATTCAATTCAGTTTGCGCTTAAGTATATTCTTTTGAAGTATATTATTTCTGTAATAAGTACTCTTTTTTTAACAATATGCTAAAGTGTGCGTCTTTTCCACATAAAAAAGGCAAAGAAAAAAAGAAAATAGTGTCAATTACTATTATGTCATTCCAAACCTGTATCATTTTTTCTTCCATTTAACACTAAAAGGACCTTCTGAAAAATATCCTAATATAAAGAATGATGACTATTCATTCACTCTGCATAGCTTATGTGAGAGACAGATCAAACTTTAAAGGGGTCATATGATGCGATTTCAAGTTTTCCTTTCTCTTTGGAGTGTTACAAGCTGATTGTGCATAGATAAGATTTCTGAAGTTGCAAAGACTAAAGTCTCAAAACCAAAGAGATATTCTTTATCAAAGTTAAGACTCTGCCACGCCCCCCTAAAACGGCTCGTTCTAACACGCCCCCACATATCTACCTCACTATGTGGAAATATTTGCATAATGCAGCTGGCCAATCAGAGCGGACTGCGCTTGTCAAAGGAGGGGGCTTTGTAGAAAACGAAGCGTTTGAGAGAGGCGGGGCATATAGAGGACTTACAATAATGTACAGTATTTGAAAAATAATGTGTTTTTTGAACATTAAAGCATGTCAACATATTCTGTTACACCAAATACACAAAATAATGATCTTTAAAAAAGCATCATATGACCCCTTTAAGTTGTTATTCACTGATAATCTTCAGCAGGCTCTTTAGCGAGATGCCAAACGCTGTGAACTCCAATTTGTGAATGAATCATTCAGAAATGGATCATTGCAAAGCTCTGAATCAAACTGTAAGTTTAATTTACATCAATTCAATGGTCGGTCTTCAGTTATTTCTTAATTGAACTAAAATCAGGATAATTAGCTCCTCCAACATGTCTTTTTCTCCGAGAGCTATAGTGTGGAATGGCCTGGTTGTGTAGTGGTGTGTGAACTCAAATGAACTTATTGCCTTTTGGCCCTTTTGGCTTGTTACAGCCACATTCCTGTGTAAAAGCTGAGCGTCTGCGTAGCTGGCCTCAGATCAGAGCACGCTCTCCAGTAAGCATTAATTAACCCTCATTATTCAGTGGTTTGGACTTGGTAATTTGTGAAGGTAGTCTTTGTTTGAAAGTGCACTTATACTCAGCGCATGAGCAATTGGATGAGTATTATAAGATAGCGACACACAGACGTGTGCGATGAGCTGTGCACTTTCATTACTTTTCATTACTGAATGGTTTTGTGGGCAGAAGCAGACAGGATTGAACCTTCTTTCCAGGTTAAAAGAATAAAACCTGAAGGTACTTGCAGTTCCAGAGGGTTCACGCACACTAAGCTGCTCTGAAGCCAGGCGTCTGGCCAACTTGCCTTTTCTGGAGCTCTTGAGCTCTGGCCTTGCTCTTGTGCGTGCCATAGACATCAGAAGTGATGTCATTTGTCTAGGCTCCTTTAGACTGTTTACATCTCAAGGACTGTGGAATTGAGCGTGGAAAACATAGTTGTATGGTGCTATGGACAGTGTCACTATTACTGTTGCTCACTTACGACTTTTGTCCAGATTTTTGCCCCGATTTACAGCCTGGAGGGGTGTTTTAAACATTTTTAAAATAAAGGTTCCAAAAAGAACCTTTTGTGCAATGCTAAAATTCCATAGATGTTAAAGGTTCCTCATGGAACCATAGATGCCAATGAAAAACCTTTATTTTATAAGAGTGTAATTGAAGAAAGACAGGGCCAGTCTGCAAATTTTGGGCAGTCGGAGTTGACAGATTTCACAGAAAATTGTGTAGTGATGGGTACAGACTCCAATTTTTAAGCTTCCAACTATGATTCCATCCAACGTGTTTCCTATTTTGAGCTGATTTTAGAACACATATGTTTCTTTGTGAGTTTGTTGCGTTTGTTGTAGAACAACTTGTAGTGTGTGATCCTCAGCCGTAACGTATATGATGCCTAGTGTTTTGAAATATGCTGAGTTGTGTAGTGTATTTCAGCCTTTAGGGATTCATGTGTCATGTGGTGTAACCGTCAATTTATAAATAATAACATATTTTGTACACCGTTTGTACACATCTTAATCATTTTTTTAAATGTATTTTTAAAACAAATATCATGATTTATTAATTTATAAATATTATTTTTTTTGGGGGGGGGGGGGAGTCATACCACATGACATTTTTCAACCTGAATTAACATTGCTTTGTCATAAAGAGGTCAAATTACTTTATATAATGTACTGTTTTACAGTTTTTTAATAATATTTTTTTTATTAATAAGCATCAAACTAGTTTTAAAATATTTTATTTTCTAAGAATTAAGAATAAAAGATTATGCCAAACTACTAAAATATTTTTAAAATGATGTCAAAATGAATTTAATTTCAGAAATTGAAAACATGCCCATCATAGAAGAGATGTATTTAAGGCATTGTATGTAAAAATCAAACTTAAAAAAAAAAAATTAGAAAGAAAGAAAGAAAGAAAAAAGAGCATCAGGTAATTCACCCAAAAACTGTAGTTTGCTCACCAAGGCTGCATTTATTTGATTAAAGATACAGTAAAACAGTAATTTTGTGAAATATTATTACGATTTAAAATAACTTTGGCTTTTATTGTGATATATTTTAAAATGTAATTCCATCCTGTGATGCAAAGCTGAATTTTCAGCACCATTACTCCAGTCTCCAGTGTCACATGATCCTTCAGAAATCATTCAAAAACTGTTTATTAATAATAAATAATTATGCACCAGTAGTTATTGCAGATAAGCATAAGGTACATCTTTCAAAAACATAAAAAAATCGCAATTACCTTTTGACTGGTAGTGTATATAGCACATAACAAAAAAGTTTGTGTTTTGAGGAAGCATGATATAAATCTTCCAGCATGAAGGTCAATGGAACTACTTATGAACGCTGGCATGTCGACTAAAAGAATACGCTTTTGTTTCCTCGTGTCCAGGGCTCCAGTATCTGCCGAGCAGCTCTCCACGCTGGAGTGATCAAAGCCAGCGGCGGCTATGTGGACCTCCTGGCTCTGGATAAGAGGAAAAGCTACACCGGGACCTTGAAGAATGGCATCCAGTCCGAGAGGTACACGTCCTGTATCTCGCTTCACCTCTGCTCTCGATTCCTCTCTTCGCTTTCTCTCAGTAACTCAATTCAGTGGTCAGAAGCCATGATGGGCCAAATCTGCCTGTGGCACGTTGGTGGTTGAAGAGTAATGGTGTGGTTTCTCGTCGAGGATGGACCACACATGGGATCTTTGCTTACTCTCCAATGCAAAGTGCTTAAATCGACAGAATCGGCTCCAGCGTAATGAAATCTAACACTTGAATCAAACACCATCATCGAAGGAATCGATCCTGGCCTCTTAAGCGCTTGACTTGGCCTTGACTGGCCTATAGATTGAGCATAGTAAAGCCATTTACTGACAGCTTGGATAGATTTCCTATTCATATGATGCAATCTAGGGGAAATGGGGGGCAGCCAGTTGTGTGAAGTTGAACGTTGCATTATTAACAGGGAAGTATTCACATGCTCTCTATATTAACACTGGATGGAAAGACTGTTGGTGTCTGACTCAGTCAAGGATAATTACAGCACATCCGATGCCAACAAAGCAACCAATACACCACCATCTGAAGGCCAGTCCATTTCTGAATAAATGAAAAGGCCAAGAGCAGTAGGCAGTAATGAATGCTGGAAGAAATCTGAATGAAACCACAGCACGAGACGAGCGCTGAGCCAGTGTTAATGTCATGCTTTCCAAAGCTAATCTAAAGCATGCACACAAATCATTGAAGTCGATTAGAGAGCAGTGTTACTCAATGAGTTAAGACGGTCAGACTAGACCGACCCAAAGTTGAATCCCTATTGTTTCCTTTCTGAATGACACTTAACTGTACTGAATAACATTGTAGTGTACTTCAAATCTTAAAAGTATATTTTTTAAAAACTGTACTTGTAGATAATATAATATTAATGAAACATAAGGCCAGTTGAGGTATAAATTGTACTTTAACTACAAATGTCAAATTAAAAGTTATATTTTAGAGTGCATATGTGACCCTGGAGCACAAAACCAGTCTTAAGTCGCTGGGGTATATCTGTAGCAATAGCCAAAAATACATTGTATGGGTCAAAATTATCGATTTTTCTTTAATGCCAAAAATCATTAGAATATTAAGTAAAGATCATGTTCCATGAAGATATTGTAATATGCATTGCTAAGGACTTCATTTGGACGACTTTAAAGATGATTTGCTCAGTATTTAGATTTTTTTGCACCCTCAGATTCCAGATTTTAGGAATAGTTGTATCTCGGCCAAATATTGCCCTATGCTAACAAACCATACATCAATGGAAAGCTTATTTATTCAGCTTTCAGATGAAGACTTAAGACTTGTTTTGTGGTCCAGGGTCTATTTTTTTTTTCATATGTTTTTCACATATTTTGTCATGCTTTAAAAAAGTACACTTATTTTGATGTGTTGACCATCATACTAAAGCACATGTAACATGCTTTAAAAATAGGTTTCGTTATTCGATATTACATTTAAAGTTCATATATTTCAAATGTACTAAACAAATGTGCAATTACAAATATATAAGTCCTACTTAAGTGGATCAAAAAACCACTCCAAAGTTTAAAGTTGCATTTAATTTAAATTTAAATTTAAATCGTAATAATTTTCATTCAATTGCAATTAAGTGTCTGAAAACATTAAAAGAATATACTTTAGTGTGAACTGAATGTAATTTAACGAGTCTTAGATCTTTTTCACAAAGATCTTTTCATAAAGTGGCAAGTGTGTGTGTGTTTTAAATAGTTTGTTAATTGTTTCTTTCTCTTTCTTTCTCACAGTAAAACCAATACAGAAGGCGGTTCGTTCCGTGTCTTCGCTGTTAGAGAGTGAGACGGCACTGACGGGATAAAAAAGTCGAAAGTCAGGATATATCAAATGAAATGCAACTTTTGGACGAAAGAGACATTTACAGAAGACCAACGGATCTGTCAAAGTCTGCTAGCTCAATCCATGGGCTTCCAAAGGTTTTATATACAATTGTGAACAATATTTTTGACCACACATGCAACTCTTAACAGAATGCAGTGTGGTAGAAATGGTATTTTAACAGCGGTGCTGGTTTTAATCGTTGTTGTTTTTTAGATCCAAGTAAGTCCGTTTATTTTTTCGATTATATTCTATTAGTCTTGAATACAAGCAAATTCTCTCATTTCCATACAAAATGCATATTGATTACACTGCATTTAATCTGTACAGATGTTTTGTTGATTTATCAGGCTCGTTGCGTGTTTCTCATTTTTTGCTTTATTTCATAAATCATTTTTGGAAGCCGGAGCTGGAATAGAACAGTGTGTAATAGTCACACTCACTTTTTTGCTTTGAGAGTTATTGTTCCCATTCAGTTTATCTATAGTAACAAAATCCAACCATCTCCACGATGAATCATAAAATTACAAACATAATATGAAAATATAATTCTGAGCTCAGAGCTCATGGTACGTCTGTCTCAAAAGTTTATGCTTTATTGTTAAAATCAATTGCTCTATGAGGAAAATGAGTGGGATTTTTACTTCCGGAAACTTTTGCGCTCTATTGCAATAGTAGTTGAGTGCAGTGGGGGGGGGGTTTATTGGACCTGAAGTGGGCAAACAGATGCTTCGCAGAGAAATGGCAAAGAAACAGAGGCAAACCTCCAAGCAAAAGAAACCTTCCCTTCATAATGCATGCAAGTCTTCCAGAGTCAACAGTACTCAGACATTATAGTAAAGGTGCACAAACACTGAAACAATGTTCAATCCCAGGAGGATTCAGTCACAGAGTGCATGTTTAGGCTCATCTTTCATTATGGTACCTTCATTTTTGTTATTTATTATTATGCCTCCTTTAACCCCTGCTCAGAACTGCAAATTCTGTGGAACAGAACCAAATATTTATGAATGCTCGCTTGAGAATCGAACGTCTGTCAGCGTCTAACATATTCCTGTTTGGTTAAATGTTATACACAACCCAGAGCTTGTCATTACTGCTAAAAGCGATTTCATTAGAAGTTGAACTTTATTTTTTATTTCGCACGAAATGAAACTCAAGTGTGCCGTGCTGACTGAACATCAGTTTGTTTAAACCACTTTATACTGCAACGTAATAAAAAGGTACTTGCGCTAAAAGCCATGCCTCTGAGGGGAAAGAGACTGTTGCATATTCTTCTTATCTTAATGCATATCTCTTAGTTAGTGTTCAGAGTCCAGGATTTAGACTTGATGTGGACGTTCGTATGAAATAAGGGCCGTGGAGCACAATAATCTCCCGTTTTGCTGCTTTGGACTTTTCACCTACTTTTATTTTCTTTGTAACTTTCTTGAATTGTTACCTCAGTCTTGTTGCAGCGATATATCTGAGTATTGATGTTTTTAGGGAAATCATAAATGTTTGTACAGTACAATGGTTCGTGTAAATATTCAGATTTGTGCTTTGTTTTCAAGTCCGTATTGTAAAAGTATGAAAGTGTATGTCATCTGTGCCTTTTTAAAGCCAGAGGATAATTGTTTTTGCACAAATTTAAAATTAAGACTATAAAATCTATGATATTAAGACTATGTCTGTCTTTTGTTTCATAAAACATGTATTTACGTTACTGGGTTTTATACTGTCCAATAAACAGGACATCTTTATTTTATTTTGTGAAATCAAAACCATATCAAAAACTCCCCTGGACCACCCAAGCACCGGTCGACTCTTCATGCATCATTTTTTAAGTGAATAAAGAGTTGGAGTATACATATCCGATATTTCAAAATAAATGATTTAGACTTCAGTCAGGGTCATCAGTGGATGCATTTTATGTTATAAAATGAATTCTTGGTACAAATACCTGAAAGCAAGTACTTTTTGGAAGAGAGATACACTAAACAAGGCCAGTACAAATCTGAGACAAACTGTTCTTAGCAAGAGCGGTAGTTAGGCTCTTAGCCAGAACATATTGTCATTAAACAGTTTATAAAACAGGTTGTCTAAGCACATGGAGATGCCTGTTTTATGTCACACACCGGCCCAGTGCAGGTCTGTTGAAAAAATGCAAATGTAAATAATATAATTACTGTCATGACAACTCTTGGAGGGATTGGCATGGTAATCTACATGATAATGTTAATGTGTTTGGTTTTGGCGGAATAGATCTGCTACGCTGCTGCTGCTGTGACCTGCTACTGCCAATACATCCACAACATGCTGCTGTGAGCATCTAAGAAATACTGCTGCTGCACATATAACACACATGAAATAACCCCCATATATAGCATACAATCACCATGTAGCAGATCTATACAGGTGGAGCTGGGGAAGGTGGAGGGTTTCTGAAGCGCGCTGCAACTGCTACAGCAAGCACTAGTCATGTATTTGAATGTTGAGCAGCGGAACACTATTAACTCTGGAGAATGAGAGGAAGGAGGGGAGAAAGATCTGGTGATGCTGGAGAACAGGCAACTGGAGGAGTGTTAGTGGAAACTCAGACCTTTTCCTCCTTTCTGAATCATTCTTTCTAGTAAAAATTAGGCCATGTGGGATGACAATAGCACTCGAAGCCGATTACGCTATTTGGGACGGCACAGAAAATTATTTCAAAACTAATGATGAATTATACTGAATAGTATGAAAAAATATATATTTGTTGGACTGATTATTCAGCAAAGCAGAAGTGATATTTTGATTATATTGCTATATCTAAAATAACAGTGAAATGGTCATTTTTATCATTGCAACTGATCCAAACACATTTAATGGTTTCACTGCATGAATTCAGATGACATGCATCAGCATGATATAACACAATTATGTGTGGAATATCTTAATAGCATCAAATCATTTTAACTGAATTTGACATGGCCTGGAGTTGTACTTCAGAAGAGAATACATGCAGAATTGTAATACAGTAGAGTAGTTTGTAAATACTAATACGGTAATCAGTTATGACATCATGATATCCCATAAGTATAAATATACAAACAAAAAAAAAGGCCAAAAATATTTATGCATAAGTATGTTGCAAGTTTACACTTTTTTTTTTATTTTTATATATTTTATACAATATATAAATATGTTATTATACAATAATAATATTTATTACAATAAAAACAGTATATATTAAAAGCATTTTTTTAAAGCAAGGAACATGCTTTAAAATATTTTTTAAAATGACAATATTACAATATATTTAAAAAAAATAAACATTTAATCATTATCAATCTAGTTTTGATCTCAAGTAGGCTATTCCACCCATATTTGCATATAGTCTAAAAGTAGGCTACTGTAAGACTGGAAATGTACTTTATTGCCCCTGAAATATATTTTGTTATATGAAAGTTGAAACTTTATATATATTGAACTAAATATTTTTGAAATATATTTTCATTTTCAAAAATTAAAAAGCTTTACTGATTACAACATATATTTAAAACATATTTGTGACCCTGGACAACAAAACCAGTCATAAGGGTCAATTTAATTCTTATCTGAATAAATAAGCTTTCCATTGACGTATGGTTTGTTAGGATAGGACAATATTTGGCTGATATACAACTATTTGAAAATCTGGAATCTGAGGGTGCAAAAAAAAAAATCAAAATATTGAGAAAATTGCCTTTAAAGTTGTCCAAATGAAGTTCTTAGCAATGCATATTACTAATTAAAAATTAAGTTTTGATATATTTACGGTAGGAAATTTACAAAATATCATCATGGAACACGATCTTTACTTAATATCCTAATGATTTTTGGCATAAAAAAAATCGATAATTTTGACCCATACAATGTATTTTTGGCTATTGCTACAAATATACCCCAGGGACTTAAGACTGGTTTTGTGCTCCAGGGTCACAACAAAAAAATGTTTTTGCTGTGTGGAATATCAAAGTACCATGGTATTACATCCGATACCATCATTGTACCATGATACCACCACAGTTCCTTCTATAAGTGTTAGCTGACGTTTAGATTAATTTTTCTCAACCAAATCACAAGAGTGAATGTTTTTTTTTTGAGAAATTAGAGTCAAACAAAACGTCTCGGTTACGTATGGTAACCCTCGTTCCCTGAAGGGGGGAACGGAGACGTCATGTCGGATGACCGACGAAATTGGGATCTCGCTTAGAGAGACCAATCTACTTCGAGTGTAAACTAAACGAGCCAATGCACATTGGCATGCGATTATTGCATCCAGCTGCTGCTGATCACAGCGTGAGTATAAGTAGGCAGCAGATGCAGCGGAGGGATTGGCATGGTAATGTACATGACAATGTTAATGTGTTTGGTCTTGGCGGAATCACCCCATAGCAGATCCATACAGGTGGAGCTGGGGAAGGTGGAGGGTTTCTGAAGCGCGCTGCAACTGCTACAGCAAGCACTAGTCATGTATTTGAATGTTGAGCAGCGAGCTCATTGGCTACCGATACAGGAGAGAACCAATCAGCTGCGCCATGTGATAATGATGTCATTATGTCAGATTGAGTTTGACCTATCAGACTGCACCATCTAGAGTTTAATTCCAGAACTTTGGTTTTGTAAATAATAAACTGCAAATTGCCATATAATCAGGCATGTGAAAAGGAAGTACAGTACACTTCAGATTTTTTTTTAAAAAGAGTACTTAACGAAACTATGTATTGTAAAAGAATATAGAGTATATGTAAGTGCAAATGCAATGTAATGTTTTCAGACACTTTTTTGCATATTATTTACAATGAAATGAAATTTTTTTTGAATTGATATTTCAATGAAATGCAGTTAGTTGAACTTAAGAGTGCGTTTTCCCCTCAGTTAAGTAGGACTTAAGTACACCTTATATATGTATTTTCAAAATTACTTCTATTTGAAATTAATGTACTTAATGTGTTACAGTATGTTAAACTAAAACATATGTTGTTTCTATTGAAACTTGTACATCACACATTTGTAATAATGAAGTTGAATATTACTACATTTTAAATGTATTACCTTTAAATGTAATGTTGATTAACAGTACAGTTAAAATGGAAATCAAGTTGTACTTTAGTATGTTAGTCAACACATCAAAAATAAGTGTACTTCTTTAAAGCCTGACAGCAGATGCACTTTATAGTAAAACAAAAGTGCTCTTCTTAAAAGAGTACTTAAGTTTTAAGAAACATGAAAGTCTCTTTATGTGCAGTACAGTACTCTTGTTTACGAAAGGACATTTTGGTAACACTTTAGATTAGGGAACACTATTAACTATTTGCTTATTAGCATACATATTGCTAGATTATCTAGATCCCTCAACCCTACCCAATACCTAAACATGACTATTACAACAACTACCTTAGTTATTATCGAAAAGCAGATGATTAGGAGTTTATTAAGAGAAAACATGCTGACACTTCAGACCTGCGTTTATTGAACAGCTGTTGTGGAAAGGAAAGTGCTTGCTGTTTAAACAGTCAGATACTCTCTTGAACAGAAATGACAAGCATAAGAACAGTATTGGGTCAAAAACCTTTCATATCTGCTGTGATGATGATTGAATGTGCACGGTTTAATGCGAGATCTCTTTAATATCTCCGCTCCAAAACAACAACGAGAGCAAATGGAGACGTTTTCCAAAAGTACCTTCTTTTCTCCTCTGTTTTTTCCACTGTAATATGTCAAACATCATTTCAAGGTCTTGTGGATTAGAGGGTTATGTATTGTTGTTTTGAATTGTGACTTTAATGATAATCAGTGTCTTAAATCCCTCCGCCGACTATAAATGTTTCATTTTGGCCTACATATAAATCTTTCAGCTGTAATTAAAGAGAGCTGTTGGCATTCTTACCCTGGCATTTCACACTTGCTTCTGCTTCCTCAACAACATGTGTTTTAAAGCTAAAAGACGTTTCTAGGACATGACATTTGGTAATTATAGGAGTCATTCAGGTCATTCAAATTGGGACCGATTCTTAAAGGTGATATGTATCGTTTGTGAAAATAATGGAAAGATGCAAAAGCTAGGACTATTTCGTTCAAATTCCAGAAGTTCTGTTTGAAATAAGTGTTTTAAAATATGCTTATGTAAATATATTTTCTACTAATA